TAATCATCACCACGGTGACTATGAATAGCTCTTATTTACCGTATTTACCATTTTTCGTGACAGTGCGCTGTTACTGCTGAGTTTTATGAATCTGGCCTACGATCATAAGATGAACCAATTAATGAGCGCAGTGGCTTTAACAGCACAAGTGTGTTTTTATGATGAAGGCAGAAGGAGCACAGCTTGTGAACTACACACCTAGCCCAAAACATAAGGATTTGTATGTGCATGTGTACGTTTCAGGTGCAGAAGACCCGTGCTGAGGCAGATGAGTACAGTGTGCGTCTGCAGCAGGCTGAGAGGGAGGCGCGAGTGGTGAGAGAAGACCTGGATCAGGAGATTGAGCAGGTCAGGAAGCAGCTTCTGAGTCGCCTAACGGAGCTGGAGCCTCTGCCCGAGGCCCTGAGACGCTCCGAGCTCCAGCTGCAAGAGGCACAGGAGAAGGAGCATGTACAAGAGAGGAAGAGTACTGAGCTCACTACTGCCCTCGCAGACCTACGCATAAAGGTGTGTGTGTGTAATGTTTTTGTACATTTTCATTGTCCTGACTTTGTAGAAAAACAGGGCTAACCTACGAAGTCAACTAGGACAAACATGGTGCATGGTGATGTTAAAAAAATGATTGTTACAAAAAAAATTAATGTTACCAAAAACTGATGGATGATTACGAGCAAACAAGAATTTTGTCTTTAAAATGATATGATCTGATGAGTTGTGCTTAGTATGACCACGGACATGGTATGATAACAAACATGGTTAAAAGGCCAGTTTTGATTTCAGGTTAACTTTAAAACTGACAGGACAAAAACATTTTTTAGGGTTAAAACACACTGAATGACGTTCATAGCCAAGTAGCATAATAAATTTTGTAACCACCTAGTATGCAGTGATGGGATCTTAATAGTGGGATTATATAATCAAAGGTAATTAGCATGAACCTAAACTGCAAACGACGTCTGGTGAGCTACACCCCCAAGTGCTACAGTATTTACATTGTTTAAGTTTATGCACTTTATTTGAGTTTAAGTATAAAGCTGTAAAGTAAAGTACGTTTGTTGTGCAGGTAGAGCAGCAGGGCACCCAGATGGAGATGGCACAGCATAAGAACATGGTGTTACTTGAGGAGAACAAGCAGCTCCAGCACAAGCTGGAGGCCCTCAACAGGTAATTCACCATGACTGATGGGCAGCTCATACAGCAGCAAACACCAAATAAGTTCAAGCGGTATAACAGAGCCATATTTTGAAATAAGTAAGAGGAGTGCAGTAGAATCTCCCCAAAAATTAAGTTGTAACATTTTTTCTGCTTTTTGTGCTTTGGCTCTTTTGAAGCTTTGACTCGATTTTCATTTTTTAAACAGAAAGTTGGAGGAGGTCAACTCACAAAATGGAGATCTCATGCAGGTCATAGCAAAGCGAGAAGAAACTATTCTAAACAACCAGGTGCGTCTAGAGGAGAAGTCACGGGAGTGCACTATTTTGACCCGGCAATTAGAAGAAGCTCTGGAAGATGCTAGACGACAGGTCTGTATGTTTGGAATATACAGGACTTCTTCTTAACCTTTAGGGTTCCTTTGGCTGTATAACCTCAAGTTATTCATAATCTATTTGTTTGGCTGGCAGAATGACTTCCTCAGAGTGGTTGCTAGAATTGTGAACCTGTTAGTTTATTGAAAAGTCTCTTTCACATTATTTATGTCTAATATGACTTTTAACAGATGTCCCATACCAGGGAACGTGCTGCTTCTAAAGAACGTGCCACTCAGTCCAAGGTGGTAGACCTGGAGACACAGCTGAGTAGGACCACCTCAGAGCTCAACCAGCTGCGGCGAGCCAAAGAAGAAGTGAGTATATTTCACCACTGCAGTAGCTGGAAGTCTCCAAACAGACAGGGGCATTGTGGGTACCAGCAGCCTCCCACTTTCCCACTTAATTAAACTGTGACCTAGACAACATTTTGATCATGGACATGAGCCTGTAATGTTAGACTACTGACTACAAACTATCCAAATGCTGTTTGACTAATATTCAGTAGTGTTTTATGTGTATCTGAAAAAATATCATTGCTAATGCATCAGTAATTACAGACTTCTTTGGTTGTGGCACTGCCAGTATTCAAACTTAGATGACGGGGCAAAACCTGGGGAAGTCAGTGTAAGGACCACCTGTTTAATTATGTGACTGCAGTGCAGAGTGAACTAGTAAATTTAACACAAACAATCATCATGGCTGAAATAACAAAAGCACAAAAATTCCAAACTCAAATTTTTAGCATGAAAATAATGTTTTAACAACATTTTATGAAGATAACTAAGATAACATTGTATGAAGACAACCATCTCCACATGCTACAATATTTACGTTGTTTAAGTTTCTACACTTTGAGTTTAAGTAAACAGTCTAGTCTTATCTCTCAGTAAAGCACTGTGCAACAAAAACCTCTGATGTATAACATTTAACATACAGAATTTATAGCCACCTGAAATTTTCTTAAGCTGCAATTTTTTTTCATATCAGTCAAGTCCTAGTAGAAATACAAACACATCCTTCTAGCCTAAAATGAAAGTGGCATTGCAACAATATGATCTCTGACTCCTTTTAACTACTTTTTTGTAGCTTGTTATGCATCTTCACAGAATAAATGGTCCACTGTTGGAAACCAAGGCTGTCTCAACTGAAATCAACTTAAGTGGGCATTGTTGAGGGTATTGTTTTGCAGATTTAGCAACAGCAACCAAGCAGGTTGGGATATAACAGTCTGTCCATTGTTATTGAATTGAGTGCATTTGCAAAACTGTACTGTCTGCTCTCTCAGGCAGAGAGGAGGTTCCAGAGCCGTTTGCAGGATGTTAAAGACCGTCTGGAGCAATCAGACAGTACCAACCGCAGTCTGCAGAACTATGTCCAGTTCCTCAAAGCTTCCTATGCCAGTGTGTTTGGAGACTCTGCTCTTACCAGTTCCTCCCTCCGAGCCCACTCACAGATCTGAGAGCTGCATTAGATCTCAGCTGAGGTGATTGAGAACACACACAAGCACATAAGACTGTATACTGCATACACTGTATGTATGACCTGAGTTTACTTTCAAAACTTTATGTGGACACTCATTTTATGTATGTGAGAACCAAAGACTCTATTCTCACTGCTTCCTCTTTATACTACATATGATTCCTTCTAGTATTATCACTGAATAATATGAAGAGGAAAATTAATTTTTAGTCAAGGATAATTTGCTGCTTTACTAATAGTTGGGCATCTTTGAGATAGCTATGCATTTTAACTATATTACTCACTAAATTCAGTAGTTCTGCGCCCCTGCAAAGTACTTAGAGAATAATGTGTAATAATCTATATTACCAATCTGATTTCAGTCCTTTAAATAACAGTTCATGAATACTTTACATTCTAATAACCATTCCAGTATACTGAGAAAAGTCCCATTACATGAACGTTAAATGATACCTCTTTTGTGTCATAGAATTTATAGAGATTAGACCTGAAAGGTGACAAGAAATATTCTATACCTGGATATGGAACTAAACCTAGGGTAATATTTTCCATCAAGCCATTCCATTTTGTATTCATTTGGCCATCGCTGATGTGGTTTATATAACTTTCTTGGTTGCTGTCAGAATAACGTACTGTATTTGAACACAATCTTTGCAATGTGTTCACATGAATTATTTATTTCTGTGAAAGTTTGTAATCTACCTGTCATGACAAAGATCCACTTACAATCTGCAGTTTTATGTTATCATTAGGGGTGGGCATTATGGCAAAAATATAACACAACAATACTTCAGGACATTTTCACAATACACAATGTGTAGCACAATATTTAGTTTTTCTGAGGTTTGATGAGGGGTGCAGTGTTCGTAAATACTGTCAAAAACTGTGAAAGCATTGATTTCTATTGTTTCACATACTGTACTGCACTAAATCCTATTACCCAAGACTATTATTCTGGCTTTTGGTCAGTGTTCTTTACATATGATGATATCCATGTCCATGATGATGCCTAGAAAGCATTTTGTGATGTAAATTTATCACAATATCGATAAATATTGTCATATTGCTCACCCTTCATGGTCATTTAAATCCCATTCTCAGTAATGCTGTATATGAAGGTATTAACTCAGGGTAATACCAGGTTTTGAAGATGTTACCACCTACTTTTAACTGAGGTGATTTTAGTATAACTAGTGGACTGTTCTGGAGGGTTCTGACTGAATTTATCAATGGGTGCTACCGTATTTTGTTTTTGTTTGTTTTTTTTTTACACATTTGACAATGTAAAGTAGCTATTCATAGATATTCTTTCACTGAAGTTACACTTGCACTTTTACTATAGGCTGTTGCAGTTATTTATCTGATGATGTGAAATAACTAAACAATAACTCATACTGTTGTCTGTTCATGTATGAAATAATACATTAGAAGCTGTAATTTGATTTGTGTATTTTATATATATATGAAGTGTATAGATTTTTATTGATGTATATTAAAATAACTTTTTTATGTTTGAACAGAGAAGGTGTGTCTGCGTGGTTGGGAGGTGGGGGGGGGTAATTAAACAGAGGCCATCAACCTCAAAATTGTGTGAGGAATGTGTCCATATGTCCAAGTATTCAAAAAAGTGCAGAAGCAGGTAATTTAACTGTTTAATGCATAAATTACTAAAAACTTATCCAGATTTTTAAAGATGTTTTTATTACTCAGAAGAGCATAACAAAATATGATGGTTTTTTTTAAATATCACTATGGACACCATGCATTAAGGAATACAAACAAAAGTAAAAAGTATACTTTTTCCTGATTAGGTCAAAATTTATATATATATATATATATATATATATATATATATATAGAGAGAGAGAGAGAGAGAGAGAGAGAGAGAGAGAGAGAGAGAGAGAGAGAGAGAGAGAGAGAGAGAGAGAGAGAGAGAGAGAGAGAGAGAGAGAGAGAGAGAGAGAGAGAGAGTTTGGACTAATATGTCTGAGACAATTGTTGAATTCCTGTTACTGTCTGGCCCGAGTGTGTTTGCACTCAAGGAGCAAACTGAATTCATGCCAGTGGTTAATGTTACATCATGGTAAAGTGGTTTGGAGGTTACTCATGTCTAATTTACCAGGAAAATTGCCACAAATCAATTGTCCATGGTTAAAGCTTACTCAACAGGGATAGAATATAAGTCATTAAAACAGAACTGTAATGTGCTACTTAAGTTACATGCATTATGTTTAACATTGCTCTTTAACTCAAGATACTTCAGTCTTCAGCAAGGTCAGTCTGCTTTTCAGAAGACGCTGATGTTTCAGTTGAAGACGTTGATTTCTTCAGCTTCATGGCCTTCACAGCAGACTGCAAAACCATTGCTTTCCTTTGCCATTTCATAGCCTTGTGTGACTGCTCAGACAGTTCTTTTTGGTACTTTTTTATTTGAAGTTGAGCAGTAAGTAATTTTAGTTTGTAAGATTTTTCAATTGTTTGAAGGCGTTCCTCACAATCACATGTGCTTCTTGGTGTGTCAGTGAGTGTAACTGATATTTCTTGGTTATCGGTTAGATTTCCAGGCTTTTTCAAATCTTGCGCTTCCTGTAATTAACAAAGAAAGGCTTGTTATTAGCTATAGAATTAATGTACATGATATTTTTAGACACTTTAAACTCATCTAATGCAACCATTTACATATGTAAATATCTTCTGTCTTTCTGTCCAAAATAAAAGAACAAATTCTACAGTTTGCTCCATCCGTAATGATACTTATGATACTCTATGTGTCCAAAAGTATCCAGACACCCTTTTAATCACTTTACGTACTTTAGTACATTTCTGACACTGGCTTCAGCTTGTATAATCTCCTCTGAAAAGCACTGACCAATAGAGCAGCTGCACAAGAGCCTAAGGTCACCATAACCAAAGCCAAGTACGAGCTAGAGGGGTATAAAACTCTTCAGCATTGGGCTGTAGAGCAGTGGAGCTGCATTCTCTGGAGTGATGGTGTATCAGCCGACACCTTTGGAGTGCAATCACATCCTCACAGCAATGTTCCAACATCTAGTGTAAAGTCTTCTCAGAAGACAAACTCCCTATTAAAACACTTAATGTCAGAAGAAACGCTGGATGAGCAGGGATCTACTATTGTTGGACATATAGTGTAGGTCAACCTCTACAACACACAAACATGCTCAATGTAAAATTAAGTAAGAATCAATGTGGTGGTATTGCCAGGCAATACAAACCGTACCATAGACTCGGGAGAAAAAACAGTGGGAATTGCATCTGGACGTAGATGTGCTGACCCATCAAAGCACTCTGGGCTGAAATGAGCAGAGCATAATACTGAAGATTCTGATGGAGTCCACCCTTCAGGTTTTCCCATGTTGGCTATCCACTGCTGAAGATACTCCTCCTTCTGGGGAAAGCTGAGTAAAATAACATCATTAGCATGATGACAAAATAATCACATCTTAAAGCAGGGTGGGGAGCTCTGGTCCTGGAGGGCCGGATTCCTGTGTAGTTAGAACATGAGAGCAGGGAAATGACCAAACTATGCTGGACTCAAAGCAGAGAAATCACCAAACTGTGATGGTCTCCGGCATTCAGTTAAAGGGTCATTCTTAAAGGGTCATTCTGTGGATGCGGTTCAAAACACTGTGTCCCAGTTCTTTACAGAGAACACACTGTTTTTTTGCTGAATTTAATGTATTGGGGAAAATCATAAAACCTGGCCTGTACAAAAGTTATGGCCCATTATATGTTTTATTTTTTTCCCCAAGATGTTAAACCAAGTGCAAAAGTAGCTTGTTTACCACAACCAAAACAAATATTTATATTTTAAAACATTATATTGATCTATTTGTTCTTGGTAGTGACATTCATGGTTTCATGACTAAGACAGTACAACACAGTAAGGAATTTGTTTCACTAAAAACAGAGGTAAGTCCAAGTGTACATCCAACTATGTGAATATTGCAAGAGAACTTCAACATTTGCCATCTATCAAAGAAAACTGGATCACTGTTATTTAGATAAACTGACGTTAGAATAATCTGATAAAAAATTTAAAATGGCCTAAGAACTAAAACAGGCCTAAAAATAGTATTATTGCTCAGTCAACAAAAAGAAGCAAAGTGTGATGTTTCAGTATTGACAAATTGAAACAAATGTATGAAAGTAGGTATTCTGAAAATGCCAAAAAAAAGATTTATTATATTCTTAGTGAATTTATTTATTTTTTTTGTATGCAACATGTAAGTAATCTTAAAGGAGAAAGGAGACATTCTAAGATTTTTCTCCCAGTTTGAACCACCTTTGTAGAATGATCTTAATATGAACTAAGAATGAAAGAGTCTCACTCACTTGTAGAATGTGATGTCTTTACCCGTTGTGTTTCTGCAGGCTTCACATGTAGACATCTTGAGGGCAGTTGTTCCAAGTGAACAAGGTAACTCTAGTGAGGGGAAATGGAGGTAGAGTCTGCTTTATAGCAGGCTAGTTAACACAGAATGGTCTGAACTGTCTTCAATGTGATAATGGGCAATTGTTGGTATAATGGGCAGTTGACACCGTTAAGAAGTAACCCATATGACTGTTCAGGCTGTGAATGTGTTCATTTACATTTCAACATTGTGTACCATTTCATTTTTTCAGGAAGAGTTATGGGTTCGTAATGTAAACTTTTTAAAACAATAATAAGATGGAAAATGTATCTGTTTAATGTAAACAGAAATTACACATACTACATAACAAATTAAAGTGCTAAAGCTTTATAAATACACTGAAGCTTTTGAATTACAATAGTTTACAGATAAACGGAAATATCTGAATTGAAACTCAGGCGTACTATAAATATGTATTATCAGAGATTACAGATTATTGAAGATCTTCCCAAATATAATTTCTCAGTACCTCAAACCATTACCACTTTTTCTTATATATTGCTATTTTTTGGCCTTGGGCTAATACTTTATCTTAATACATAACTATACAGCCTTTATAATAATAACATACCCTTAAAAATTGGTTCTTTAACTTCAGTAAAAGCAATGTTTATATATTAAATCATGACAACTCAAAGAACCATTTGAATGCCTAAATTGTTCTTTTCATGATTAAACTATTCTCAATTTTAAAAAACCTGCTGTCTATTTGCTATTGTTAGAATTCCACTTTTTTGGTTACTTTTTATAACCCTTTATGATAAGAGTGCATAAAAACATTTATAGCAAAAAATACATTTTATTTGTAGGTGATAAAAATACATATCTTCTATGTTCTTTTGTTGATATTTGTAATTTGCTTCCCTTGTTTTATTCATCAGCATAGAGACTTCCAAGAGTATCCCAGCGTAATTTGTTTTATTGTGCATTATTTAGCTTCTGCACTGCCATTTGTGTGATATGCCAAGAGACTGTGGTGCCCTTAGACAGCAGAATCCAACAAAACTTACTGCCCAGTGCAAAGTGTCAGCACATTCCTGACAGGAAACACTGTCTGGAATTTAAGTGTACTGCAGAGTCAATGCATTTTGACATAGCTCTTGAAATTACTTCATACATCACTCTTCGTGCTTGTAATTAGGACCGATGCTTTTGTTGGGCCTTAAAAGCCTAGAAAAATGTGACCTTTTGAAATGGGTGTAGTTTTGTACATTAAAGAAAGCTGTTCATAAATGTTCTTAGTATATATATTTACATATATGTTTAGATGCACTCCACAGTGAAACCTGATTTAATAATTCTGTTGCAAATTTCCAAAGTCATCACAAATCCTTGCCTGATGAGACTCGGCATCTATCGACGCTCTTCGGAAACTTTCGGCGTGTTGCTGCGGCGCATGACGTCATTGCCTCCTAAGGCCTCGTTCTGTTGGTCGCTTCAGTACGACAGCTAGTTAGATCGTTCGTACAACAGAAAGAGAGGCAGCAACCGCCTTGATCCAGTCCAGAAAAACAAAGCTGAACACCTTTTTGCAGAGGTAAGAGGCTCCATCGCGGCGCGCTCGTGTGACACAAACTATATAAACACGCTTTTGATCCAGCTTTGTGTCGCCCCAGTTAATCAACGGGACTGAATTGAATTGAATCGTAAGGCTTAGTACCGTTCCGTCTCACGGCATTAGCAACGACTAGGGGCCCAGTCACCGTTCACCATAACGTTTCACACTCTCACCTTCAGCACCGAGGGACGTGCCCACAACTCTTTAATGGTTTTGCAGTTATCAAATTAGTGTTTCTGATTTATTGCACAATTACTACACGGTTTTTTTTCATACAATGTTTAAGCCAGCTATCGTTAATTTAATACCGTGCGACGTTTTGGGGTCGAAGGGACGTCGACGTTTCACCGTTATCGTCCAATGCAGTTTAATGTAGCTAACGTACTACTCAGGCAGTTTAACGTTATTTTGTTAACTGTGCCATCTACGCTGGTGTTCCGGCCTCTTTCAGCCAGAAACGAACTGCATTTATCCATCTGTCTGTCTGTCTGCCGTCCGGACAGCGAGCTAGCAGTGTTAGCGCTTTAGCCAGCTGGGTGGCTAGCTGCACAAACAGCTGCAACTATGAATCTAGACCGCTTCAGCGCTGTAAGATAGATACATATGCACAGAATGGATCGGAGATACTCTGTACGATATATTACTGTCCTCGTTCCCGTTGTTACCGAGCTGTCTGTGCGTTCAAAATCGATATTTTCTGTCGGAGGATACCAGCTAGCTGTTTTTCGACCATTGTAGGAGCCGCCCAGCAGGCAGCAGCTCCCCTCTCTCAATGAGCTTACAGGGCGGCCTAGAAACAGCTATTGCGGCTTTTCTGCCCTTTGGGCGCCTCATAAAAATCTGAGTATTTTAAGCTTTAAACCGTCCCGTTTTGAGGAAAAATGCTTTTCATCTACCAGTCATTTCTGTTAAGTAAATGGTAATGTGCGCCCACTGAAAACGGCTCAGATGGACAGCATACAAATGCAACATCTAATATGACGGGCATGTAGTAAATCCCGTAACACACGAAAGTCTTAATCAGAAGTGTTCTGTTATAGGATGTCTGCAGATCGGGCTCAGTGTTTGCTTTTAAGTGCGTGAACTCAAATGGGTGTGAACAGCTGCTAGGAGCCTATTGCCTACCAGCATTCCATTCATACCGGTGTGATCTGGCTCAAACCCCATTCTTAACACACTGTCACAACTCTTCATCTTTTATGAAGGCATCAAGTTTACATTTTCTTAGTGAGACTGAAATTTGATTCCGTCCACACATGGTCACCATCCTGCTGTGCCATCACGCTGACATGTCCACTAAGCCTAGCCAATGACTGCAACACTGCTTCAAATGGATGAATGAATGGATGAAAGACAAGACTCTTTTTTGTGCTTGACACATTCTTAGCATACAGAACTTGAGGACTGTTCACTAGAGACCACACAAAGCTGTTTAATTCACCCATAGAGAACACAAATGTGGTGACATTTACAGTCATGCGCAGTTTCCCATAATCACACTCACTAATCGAATTTCAGGCCTATTCTTGGACGTGGGGCCATGGTGGAGACAGAAGTTAGCCAGTATGTTATGGGTTACCCCTGTGCTGCCTGGCATTTATATTATTTTGTCTGGTATTTAGCAAAGATGTCAGCCTGCATTGCAGACCAGCGTCTAGGGCAGCCGATCCCGAGGAAGGACATCCAGCAAAGAATTCTCTCCTCCCTTTTCCTTTTCCCCTGAAGCTGATGTAATGCACACTGAAGTCTGAAAAACTTTCTGAATGGGTGTGGTCCTTAAAGCCGAAGCAGTGGAACATGGGGTCCTCGTCAGGGGCCCTTGGGGTGATGCTGCTTCCTCATGTGCAGCTGTGCATTCTGTATCTGTTTAAGTGCACACCCTTTATAGTGTCAACATGACACTCTTTCTCATGTCTGCTTTAAGGAAACATTTTCTGGCAGGAAAAGAATAAACTGAAACAAGAACGTGATTAGACTAGATTAGATAGCAAACAAAGCATTGCTGTATGTATTACAAATATTGCACATATTGCCTTTAAAACGGATTCACGCTCACATAAATAACTAACATTAACAAGCAGCAAGGTCATTTACTAACAAGCACAGTAAATTAGTAGGACAGTGTGGTAAAGTATAGCCACAATATAAGTAAGAGTCACTGTCCCCATTATATAAATAAGCAGATATGTTTCTGATGGCTAGATGTTAACAGCCCCCATGATACCATTGTAGCTGCATATCTGTAATTAAGTTTAAAGATGCATAGAAATTCCTAGTAACGTTAACAATTTAACACAGATGTATTTGCATTGCACCATCATCATTGTACCATGTTTAGCATCATGCCATAAAAAGCTGAGCTGCGGGGACCATGGTGTGTCATGTAGATCTGCTCTGGTTTCATGTGACATCCTGCTGTAACCCAATCCAGCAATGGTCTGTTCCCTGCACAGGACTAGGAGACTCCCTGATCTGTTTCTTTTCTGCATTGCCATTGTAGAATGTATCAGCTGTACTGTCAGTGTACTGTTCTTTGGTGGCAGTCACACATCATTTGCATGAGCACACAGATGCTGGATCCTTTTGTGGTGGAGCTTGTTTAACGTGTGAATTTAGCTGTAGTGTTTTCCCCTTGTTGTCCTATTGTAATCAGTTGACCTATCCTGTTTTGCCAAAGCTCTTTGAGAGCAGAGCAAAGATAGGTCAGTTGACGGTTCTTTGACTGCAGTTTTTAAAAGATGTGTGTTTTACTAATAACATTATTTAATCTTGTGCCCTGTAACCAACACAGGCACCTGTTACCATGTCCAAGTTTATTAAACCCAAACTTAAGGTAAAGTGCGTGAGATGTGTGCATTTGTGTGTGTGTTTTTTGGGTGTGGTTTGTGGTGGTGTAGCTCCATTAAATGGCATGGGGTCTATATATTGGTGCGTAGCTTCTGGAATGTTAAGAGCAGGAAGGAAGGAGCAGAGCATAAGCTCATTCCTGCCTGCTGATGTTTTTCTTCCTGATGATTTTCTTGCTGAGAAATCGCATGGGCAGGGACTTGGCTGCCTCCCCACACGGCCTTACCACTGCGGCGCTGATGCGTCTGTCTGCCTGCACTGCAGCCATAGTCAGAGAGATGGAGGGACACATGCAGTCACGGAGCATTGTGCTTTTCTGATGCTTTTGCCTAGTCATACCTCTCGAGGCTCATCTCCAGCTTTTTGAGAAGTTCATTTAAATTCACTTGGGCTACGCTTGATAAAGCGCAGTCACCAGGCATCAGCTAGAGATAAACAGACTAAGGTTTGTTGGTTTTATGGTTATTGTGTCTATATATATATATATATATATATATATATTCTAGTGATTTAAATAGAAATTCTAAGAGGTAGGTCTATCTGTCCTTTTTTTAGACGTAAGATTTCATGCATGCATATTAATAATTCTTCCCAGGCCACCGTGTGTTGCATGGTGTGTGGGTGTTTTCTGCATGATTGTGCAGTGTTTGAGAGAGGATTAAATCAGATACCCACTGGTGCATTTTAACTCAGCCCTATATGCTGATCTGTTCCAGCCATTTTGATTTAATCCTGAATTTAATGCTGTGTTTTAGATGTGTTTGGAATGATGAAAAAGGTATTTTCTTAACTCTGTTTTTTTGCGGTAGATCTCTGTAGCCATAAGTAGTGCATGATATGAGTCTAGCTCTAGAAAGGGCTTGACTTTAGTTGTATGCATCTTAAGTTCCCAAGGGCTCTTATTTAATCAAAGAATATTTTAAGTTGGCCCCAATATACAGTGATTGTATATACAGTCTAAATCCTATGAGTGAGCAGGCTGCGATTCATTTGAATGCAACTGAAGGAAAATTGCCTCAGTGCCTAATTCCTCAGGATCTCAGTATAGTTGAGCTCAGCACAGCTGGAGAGCTGGGAGACAGCACACCCGTTTCCTGGACATTCCTCTGGCCTGTATCCTCCCTTTTCTGTCTCTTGGCTCTTAGGAACAGATGTGTTTCCATAGAAACTTAAGAGTTACGAAAGTGAACTGGGCTTGTTTCCCGCTGATGCTGATTTCCCTGTGGGAGCAGTGCTTTCTGACTCTGAGATGTGTTACAGTTTTGTTGAATGTAGGATGTAACATGATGTTATTAGGGGGGCTTGTTGTAGGAGGAGAAATGAAAGAATTTTCACTAATTTTTTTTGCAAGACCCATAGTGTTTTTTGAGTGCACTGTTCTTGTTCATCGATCAGTCCTTGTGCATTTTCTGTTACATAGAATGTTGGTTTGCTGACTTGATATTGCAAAAGAGAGAGATGAGCTACCTCAGAAAATGTAAGGTTTTCTAGATTTGATTAACACTGGGGGGGTGGCCAGTACGACTACACTATAAGTATCATTATAAACGTGCCACAGTGCAGTTAAATTTTTTTCCCTAGTTTTCTCATTTGAAAAGCACTTTGAATGACAGCAGTGTATAAAAAGGGGTATATAAACATGTCTTGCCTTGCCTAGTTAGGGATGCACTAATCATGATTTTTAGAGGCCTATTCCGCTTTGTTTATAGTCTCGTTTTGGCCCATGGGCAATTTTTGTAGCCTTTATTTTTTAACCTTTGTGGGTTAAATAAATACTTTCTGTTAGACAGAGTCACAATACGAATAACATTTATATGTTCTACCATTTTAAATTCATTAATAAAACAATCAGTTGCCTGTTTGACGAACATGAATCAAATCATGTGATAAAGTAAGAGGTAACGGGCCCTTGTACAATTATGCTACAACATTTTGGTTGATTACCAGTTGCAAGTTTGGAACACAAATCTGCCGATTTTTGGCTGATGTCGTTCCTGCATCCTTACTCTTCTTGCTTCTTAAATAGTTTATCAACACTGATTAAAATTACAAATTATTGTATAGTTTTTATGTCCATTTTTTAAATGTTACTACTGTTTTGCCTGTCCATATTGTGCAAAATATAAGACAGATCATTTATTGGTAAAATGCCTTCAAATATTGTGATCTTATGTTTTTGCCACATCGCCCCCCTTAATTAACATTTGATTAAACGATTTAAGATACAAGTGATTACATTAATTCTATATCTTCCCCTGTACTTTGTAGTGTTGCGTTCTCTCTCTGCTCCACTTAACATACTTCTGCAGTAATCTGTGCCACACTGGGGTTTATAAATATCTCAGCTCCTCTCTGTGAGATTGGTAAGAATGTCTTTGAGAGGACAGCCTCATTATCAGGACAGGTTGGGAATAGGGGGCTTGTCTGTAAGACAGACCTGATTATCTGGATGCATAGGGAATAGCCTGCATGTCTAAAACTGCCTAAGGAGCCACAGAGTGAGCCAGTTAAGTCGAAGTTGAGTGTGATTCTTATTTGTCAGTTTGGTAAATGAGCTTTGTATTTTATGTGAGTTGTCTAGCTAATTCACAAAATCATGTCATAGATGGTTAAACCTGACTGGTGTGGGAAAAACCTCAGAGCCCAAACAAAGTAGTATGTGGTTTAGTCTTTGTAATGGCAGCTACTTCCATGTAGCCCTAGCTAACAGCTGTTATTACGACCGGCCACTGAGCGATTTGAGGGCGTGAGCTTGGACTTTGCCTGTGTCATCATGTGGTTGGAATGTGACAGAGTTATCCGAGTGCGCTGCTCGATGACCGAGCGTGTGGGAGAGAGGAGAGGGAGCAGGAGAGAGAGGAGAATATTCGAGAGCTGCAGTGTGGAGCACTAATG